TCTACTGTGAAGACTTTCCACAGGATTTTTGAGAGTTCCTGTGGGAGTTTGTGCCCATTTGTGAGGTCAGTTACTGATGTTGGATGAGAAGACCTGGGCTCACAGCCAGCTTTTTAATTCATCCTGAAGGTGTTCAATAAGGTGGGAAGTCAGGGCTGTGTGCAGGATATGCGAGTTCCTCCACACCAAACTGGTCAACCCATTTTTTATGGATGCAGTCTAAACTGGTCAACCCATGTATTTAAAGAGCTGGTCCAAACTGGTCAACTTATGTCTTTATTGGGCTGGTCCAAACTGGTCAAACCCATGTCATTATGGAACTGGTCAACTTATCTCTTTATGGAACTAGTCCAAACTGGTCAACAAATGTCTTTATAGAGCTGGTCAACCTATGACTTTATGAACTAGTCCAAACTGGTCAACAAATGTCTTTATAGAGCTGGTCAACCTATGACTTTATGGAACTAGTCCAAACTGGTCAACTTATGTCTTTATGGAACTGGTCAACCTATGTCTTTATGGAGCTAGTCCAAAGTGGTCAACAAATGTCTTTATGGAGCTAGTCCAAACTGGTCAACTCATATCTTTATGGACCTGGTCAACCTATGTCTTTATGGATCTAGTCAACCTATGTCTTTATGGAACTGGTCAACCTATGTCTTTATGGAACTGGTCAACCTGTGTCTTTATGGAACTGGTCAACCTATGTCTTTATGGAACTGGTCAACCTGTGTCTTTATGGAACTGGTCAACTTGTGTTTTCATGGGAGCTAGTCCAAACTGATCAACAAATGTCTTTATGGAACTAGTCCAAATTGGTCACTCATATCTTTATGGAACTGGTCAACCTATGACTTTATGGAGCTAGTCCAAAAACTGGTCAACTTATGTCTTTATGGAACTGGTCAACCTATGTCTTTATGGAGCTAGTCAAAACTGGTCAACCCCATGTCTTTATGGAGCTGGTCCAAACTGGTCATCCAATGTCTTTATGGAGCTAGTCCAAACTGATCAAACCGATGTCATTATGAAGCTGGTCAAAACTGGTCAAACCCATGTCTTTACGGGGCTGGTCCCAACTGGTCAACCAATGTATTTATGGAGCTGGTCCAAACTGGGCAACCCATGTCTTTATGGAACTGGTCAACCTATGTCTTTATGGAACTGGTCAACTTATTGTCTTTAATGGAGCTAGTCCAAAGGTGGTCAACAAATGTCTTTATGGAGCTAGTCCAAACTGGTCAACTCATATCTTTATGGAACTGGTCAACCTATGTCTTATATGGATCTAGTCAACCTATGTCTTTATGGAACTGGTCAACCTATGTCTTTATGGAACTAGTCAACCTGTGTCTTTATGGAACTGGTCAACCTATGTCTTTATGGAACTGGTCAACCTGTGTCTTTATGGAACTGGTCAACTTATGTTTTTATGGAGCTAGTCCAAACTGATCAACAAATGTCTTTATGGAGCTAGTCCAAATTGGTCAACTCATATCTTTATGGAACTGGTCAACCTATGACTTTATGGAGCTAGTCCAAATTGGTCAAACCCATGTCTTTATAAATCTGGTCTAAACTGGTCAACCCATGTTTTTATGAAGCTTGTCCAAACTGGTCAACCCATGTCTTTATGGAGCTGGCTTTGTACACAGGGGCACAATCATGCTGGAACAGAAAAGGATCTTTACCAAACTGTTACCTCAAGACTGGAAGATCACAATTGTCTACAATGCCTTTGTATGATGTACAACATAGTATTGACAGTACTCTTCACTGGAGAAATCTACAACTCAACCATTTGGAGAGGACGGGGGCGGGGGAAGGTTCACATAATTTGGCCATATAGGTAGGTGTGATGTTCAGATGTTCACATTTGGCTATATAGTAAATTTTGCAGTTATTTTGCAGATATTGAGAAGAGCCATTCGCAGAGATAGCATTCTTGTAGGAAACGCACCCGGTGTACTGGAACTGGCACACCATGTTTGGCCCATGTAAAATTTATTGAAGAGCAGAGCAATGAGTGTGTTTTGTTACATTTTTTTTTTTTTTTTTTTTTTTTTTTTCGACGCACAAAAATAAAATTTGTCTACAAGTCCATAAAAAGTTCAGTGCAGCATTATTGTGATGCATGGGTTTTGCAAAACTGTTTTTATTATTGATTAGATAACAAAAATCTTTTTTTTTTTTTTCTTTTTTAATTATCTTTCCTACATATAGAACAAATAAATAATTGCTATAAGTCATATACTGTACATCAGGATCGTTATGTTCCTTGGTTGTGTCACATTCCTCCCATGGTAAATATGGAGTTATATAATTTATAAAAAATATTCTGTTATATATGTGCCTATATATATATATATTTATATCTATACTATACTATATAAGTAAGAAATCCAGGTACATGTATCAGATACAGGAAGATGAAGATTATATACAGCTCTCTCAGGTTTTACCTCCCTCATTAAGTCCTTTAAAAAAAAAATAATGTGACCCCCCCAAATTTGTCCTTGATTTGTCGGTCAATTGGGCAGCCCTCAGAGTTGCAGTGCATTCTGGGTGTTATCAGCACCCCGTATTCATAGGTGTTCATGATCCCTGTCATACATAAGCTATATTTTTCTCCAATACGAATAAAGGGGACAATGTTTTTGCTTGCTTTGTAACAACTGGAAATTACGACTGAGGTTAGTGGACACCTGACCATCACACCTACAGTGTCAGCTTTGCAAAACCATTAATATGGAATTACGTCCCCTATGCCACTAGAAAATCCTTCACCCTTAGGAGAAGGCTTTCCACAAGATTTTGGAGGGTGTCTGTGGGAATTTCTGATCATTTATGCGGTCAGGTACTGATGTTGAATGAGAAGACCTGGCTCGCCATTGGCGTTCCAATTCATCCCAAACCATGTCCATTAATATGGAGTTGCAACCTTTTCTATAACATCCTCCAATCTTCTTTCCACAAGTTTTTGGAGGGAGTCTGGTGAAACTGAGCTTTTTTGTGAGGTCAGGTACTGATGTTGAATGAGAAGACCTGGCTCGCCATTGGCGTTCCAATTCATCCCAAACCATGTCCATTAATATGGAGTTGCAACCTTTTCTATAACATCCTCCAATCTTCTTTCCACAAGTTTTTGGAGGGAGTCTGTGGTGAATCTGAGCTCTTTTGTGAGGTCGGGTACTGATGTTAGTTGAGAAGACCTGGCTCAATGTTCCAATTCATCCCAAACGTGTTCAGAGTTTGTGCCCATTTGTGAGGTCAGTTACTGATGTTGGATGAGAAGACCTGGCTCACAGCCAGCTTTTTAATTCATCCTGAAGGTGTTCAATAGGGTTGAGGTCAGGGTTCTGAGCAGGACACTCGAGTTCCTCCACACCAAACTGGTCAAACCATGCCTATATATAGCTGGTCCAAACTGGTCAACCCATTTCTTTATAGAGCTGGTCCAGACTGGTCAACCCATGTCTTTATGGAGCTGGTCCAGACTGGTCAACCCATGTCTTTATGGAGCTGATCCAGACTGGTCAACCCATGTCTTTATGGAGCTGATCCAGACTGGTCAACCCATGTCTTTATGGAGCTGATCCAGACTGGTCAACCCATGAAGTCTTTATGGAGCTGATCCAGACTGGTCAACCCATGTCTTTATGGAGCTGGCTTTGTACACAGGGGCACAGTCATGCTGGAACAGAAAATGGTCTTCCCCAAACTGTTACCACAAGGTTGGAAGAGCACAATTGTGTACAATGCCTTTGCATGATGGAGTATTACTAGGACACTTCACTAAGACCCCTGAACTCATTGGAGGAGTGTCTACATCTTTTCAGCAATATAGTTTATCTGTTGGGAGTGGGATGACCCTATTACCATTACTGGTAGAGTTCTTTAATCATGAACCTCTAGGACAGGACTGGTGTTCGATGAAAAGACCTGGCTCACAACTGTCATTCCAATACATCCAAAAGGTGTTGAGGTCAGAGATTTGTACAGGACACACGAGTTCCTCCACACTGAACTGGTCAATCCATGTCTTTATAGACTTGGACTCCCTTTGTGGCTATAACATGTTCTGCTCTTCTGGGAAGACATTTCACAAGATCTTGGAGGGTGTCTGTGGAAATTGGTGCCCATTTGAGAGGTCAGGTACTAATGTTGGATGAAAAGACCTTGCTCACAATTGGCATTCCAATTCATCCCAAAGGTGATCAGTAGGGTTGAGGTCAGAGCTCTGTGCAGGACACTTCGGTTCCTCCACACCAAACTGGTCAACCCATGTCTTTATGGAGCTGGCACAGGTGGGGGAAGGGGCACAGTCATAGTGGAACAAAGTGGGGTCTTCCCCAAACTCAACACAAGGTTGAAAGAGCACAATTGTCTACAATGTCTTTGTATGCTGTGGAATTACCAGTACTCTTCACTGAAGACATCTAAACTCAAGCAGTTGGAAGCGGTTCCACATACTTTTTTGATTCATGTGCAGGTGTAATGGGCAGGTGCCAACAAACCTTTGACCAAATATTGTATGAAAAACGAGGGCTCCGTTATAAAATAATTGGGCATGCAATCGCAGTGGGACTTATTTATATATAAAATGGCCGCGGGTATTTCATTTCTTGAGTTTGTCTGCATTTGTTCTCTAGCTCCGTAGCTCCGCATGCAAATGGAGATTTTAGGCTAAGGTTCTCCTTTACGATTCAGTAATTGTTACAGAAATCCACAGATTTCTAGGCCTCAGAGGAACCTATGTGCTGACCTTAACATATTGGGGTTTGGGGGAACCCTGGGTGATCCAACAATAAACTGAGCTAACAAGCAGGTACCTGGAGGCGGAACCACACAGGACACCCAATCATTGATCGATCTTTGAGTCAACATTGTTTCTTCGAGCCCTGTTAAAGGGGGTACAGTCCTGAAAACGTGTTGGCTCCTGTAAACCAGGGCTTCAAATTTCAAGTCCTGAGCTACTAGCCAGGCCTTAAGAGTTACTCGCCACCAACAAACACACACAAACAGAGACACCTGTACACACACACATGTACATACACACACAGAAACATGTACACACACTCACAGAGACACATGTACACACACATGCACACACACACATACAGATACATGTATACACGTACAGACACGCATACACACAGATACATGTACATACACAGAAATACACACGCACAGACACATATACATACACACAGACACATGTACATACATACACAGACACATGTACGTACATACACGTACATGCACACACACAGACACATGTACACACACATACATGTACATACACGTAGACACATGTACAGATACACACATGTACACACAGACCCATCTACATGCATACACAGACACACACACACATACACGTATATACACACACACAGCCCTATAAAAAGTTGCTGTACTTCGTTGTTCACTCACAGAGCCGGGTAATGCACTCTAGGGGGAGGCAGAGAGCACAGCACACACTCCTTGCTTTGCTTTTACTGCGCTCAGCTATTGAGCAGTCTGACGGCTCCCAGTGCCAATGACAGATCCGGCCTGAGCTCTGAGCCTGCTCAGCAAGACAGCCCTGGGGGACACACTCGACCCCACCATAATTTCCACTCGCCATTGGTGAGCAGGCGAGTGGAAATTTCAAGCCCTGCTGTAAACAACCTGTTTTTGGATGAAACTGGAATATAACAGTGTGGCACTTCAGTTTTAGGCTCATTCATTTTCATCAAATTCCAAGAGGAACATGGAAATCCCTTGGCGTGTAGTAGGTTCCAGCCCAATGTCCAGGCTATCCATAGTCATACTATTAGTTGTCAACAATACAAAATTACTATATAACAAGACTCCAGAGTCCCAGAGCCCTTATCCCACTCCCTTGGGATTTATTACTATCTGTGTCCCCATTTGGGAGATTTACTCTCTAACTGCCCTGATCACCTATGTCATTAGGAATGAAAGTGATGGGTAAGTCCAAAATTTCGATATGCCACCAAACAGGAATAGAGGGGAAATCTTCTAATGTGGGGTACTAGTTCCCATGACAGCTGTCTAGGAGGGACTTTCCCTCACTATTCATTCTCGGATGATCTTCAAACTTGACAAAATCAATCTTTTTTTTTTTTTTTTTTTCTTCTGTCAGTCAACTATTTCTAAGGCAGATATTATCTAGCAGTACCAGGACAGGTTCTTCTTGTACCCAGGGCAAGGATGCTGAAGTGCGCCCCTCCTCCACTGTTAATGTATGCTATAGAATGGGTTTGCTACCCTGTGTCCATTCTCTGTCCCCTTGCACTGCCCAGGGCAGCAACCCCTCCTGCCCACCCCTTGTCCCCGCCCTGTTATATATCACACATTAAGATCTTTTAATTAACTAGTTCAGATTTTGATGTTTGGAAATACTTATTGTCAACATTTGTAACTAGGAGATGTAAACATCGTCATATTGGACACATTTTGTTTTTGGCCAGAGACATTAGCTTGTGTATGACAGGAATGAGGAGTTGGTTCTCGCAGGCACTGATCTTAGTGACCTCTTCATATGGTCATTATTCTCAATTTTTTTTTTTTTTTTATCACAGTGCCTTCATCAATACAAAACTCCCAATGGTAGTAATATATGGACAAGTTTAACGAGTCACTTTTTTTATTTTAAAGATGGCGGAATCGGAGCTGGGGAACAGTGTCATTGTCACAGTGAAGTGCTACCTAGCTGAGGGCCGCTACCGGGAATCATTTATCACAGTGTTGTGGAGACGGCTCAACATTTTGGTTTTGGTTCTTGGAAGTGAAAAATTAAATGACCTTTGTAAACTACGGGGCACTCCAGTTACATATTAACATTGCTTTCCGATTTGTATGAGTAGAATTAGGGAAGGTTACAGGTCCAGCATGTGGTCATTAGAAGTATTTGGCAATTCAAGAGAATCATCATCATCATATTATGAGGTCCAGCATTTTACAGGGCAATGGATGTCCTACTACCAGGGAACCTCTCACCTCCGGAGTCAGGCAAAGCTAAGTAAAGGGGCCAAAAGAACTATATAATGAGTAATCCTGCACATTGTAGGCTGAATATTTTTGCATAAGGCCGATCTTGACTGGTTTTCCATAGACACGATGGGATTGATTTACTAAAACTGGCAAGGAAACCAATCAGCTTCCAGGTTTTATGGTCAAAACTTCATTGATTGATTGTCTGCCATGCACAGCTGCACCAGATTCTGCACTTGTCAGTTTTTGTAACTCAACCCTAATGAGACCATCACCCAGTCAGGCCTATAAAAGCTTCTCATTTACTATCGTAAATTGTTTTCCTGTAATCGGGCTGATGCCAGGAGCATCTCCAGTGCACACTATTATATTCACCCAGCTTCTATGGTCATACAAGTTGACAACATGACTGCCCTACACAATAATTGTGTAGAAGGCAGATCTTGTGACCCCAACCTATATCCAATGATACCTTCATGAAGATATTTTTGATGGTTGTATATCCAAATATTTAATCAAAGGCATAGATGCGGCCACACAGAGCATTCGTTCAAGGCAAAGTGCACTGGGTGTGTAATAAAGTGCCCATGGTGATATTTTCAGCATCTATTTTCTAAATAACCATAAAACTTGAGTGTTCTTTGTTTACATTACAGCTTAGTGCATTTTTTGCGCATTTTTCTGCTCATACAACTGGCACGGTGTGTTGGGTGAAATATTAAATGTAGGTAAAGGCTAATAATAGTTCATTACATACAACTGGACCTGTTCTGCAATGGTGGAGACGTTTCATAGCAAAGACACCTTCATCCAATCGCCATGGAATGTGTCAAGGCAGATGTTGATTGCTGGGTGTCCAATTGACAACAAATCACACCTAGCCATGTGAGCTGAAGTATTAACACCTATGCAGACTTCATAATGCACAGGATGGGATTATGTAACTATGTAGCATATCCAGGATACATCTTTAGTTCTGAGTGTCAGGAAGATACCCCAGAATTTATATCTTCATGGTACCATAGACATTTATCCAATCATCATGGAAGGTGTCAAGGCAGATGTTAAGTGTCTATGGTACCATGAAGATATAAATTCTGGGGTATCTTCCTGACACTCAGAACTAAAGATGTATCCTGGATATGCTACATAGTTACATAATCCCATCCTGTGCATTATGAAGTCTGCATAGGTGTTAATACTTCAGCTCACATGGCTAGGTGTGATTTGTTGTCAATTGGACACCCAACAATCAACATCTGCCTTGACACCTTCCATGATGATTGGATGATTGTTGGGTGTCCAATTGACAAAAAAATCACACCTAGCCATGTGAGCTGAAGTATTAACACCTATGCGGACTTCATAATGCACAGGATGGGATTATGTAACTATGTAGCGTATCCAGGATACATCTTTAGTTCTGAGTGTCAGGAAGATACCCCAGAATTTATATCTTCACGGTACCATAGACACTTATCCAATCATAATGGAAGGTGTCAAGGCAGATGTTGATTGCCCAAGAACAGGCAAGGCAGGTTTTCTACCCCTAAAAGATATGTTCACGATAAAAAATAAAATAACATAAATGCCCATTTTTTTCAGGTAAAAAAAATGGGCATTTACTATTTTTTTTTTTTGGAGCCAGGAAAGCATTGCACCAGCGATCAGTAGATCGCTGGTGCCATGCAGGACTCCTGCAAACTGTCAGTATATCTGCTTGCCCATACATCCCATAGTAGTTCATTGAGAACTACAAACCGACAACCACAAAGACTGTCGAGACTTGTAGTTCATTCTTTCACAGAACTCTGCCACACTTTTTTCAAAAACTGACAGCTAGTACAGGGAACTTCTCCCTGTAATGCTGTTACAGGGAGGAGGGGGATCGGGCAGCGGCGGGAACATGTTACATGTTCCCTCAGGTCCACCTGCCCATGATCTATCCATTAAATGCATGTGCCTCTACTATGGGGACTCACAAATTTTAGAGTTAGGACCACAGATGATCAGGGTGCCGTGTCGTGGCTCTGTGGCTTACGTATGTATTTGCAAATGTGTGCTAACTAAACCCCTGTTATAAACGCATACTGTTAGACAGGTTAATTCGGTTGTTAGCAAGCTGGCTGGCAAGTTGTCCAAGAACATTGTTCTCTCCCCTTTATTCACTATGTGATGCCTGTTTATGTGTCCTTGCTTCATAAGCCAGTTATAGACTTGGGCGGGTGGCCACTTTTATACATGTTCTACCCTACAAATGAGCAGAACTTGTAACATGTTCCCAAAGGTGAACCTATCCTTTAAGGAAAAGGGACATATTTTTGAGAGGTGAACATCTTGGACAGAGAAGACAACTGGTTTGTATGAAAGAGATCATCTACATCAGATTGGGAGAACCATCCCTGAATAAAGTTGTGGGTCTTACTACATGTCCATCCTCTACATATAATCTCATTTTTTACATCTCCAAACTGGTGATTTGACAATTAATATTTTCGGCCAACTGAATAAAAGAAATAAGACATGCAGACTCCATGTCACCAAGGTTTGGGTTATAGAACTAGAACAGGACGGTTCCCTAACTTTCACATCTCCCATCCTGTTCTTGGATCATCAACATCTACATATCCATGGTGGTTGGATGAAGGTGCTCATGGTACCTTTGTGGATATAAATGCTGTGGTATCTTCCTGACACCAAGGTTTGGGTTATAGAACTAGAACAGGACGGTTCCCTAACTTTCACATCTCCCATCCTGTTCTTGGATCATCAACATCTACATATTCCATGGTGGTTGGATGAAGGTGCCCATGGTACCTTTGTGGATATAAATGGTGTGGTATCTTCCTGACACCAAGGTTTGGGTTATAGAACTAGAACAGGACGGTTCCCTAACTTTCACATCTCCCATCCTGTTCTTGGATCATCAACATCTACATATTCCATGGTGATTGGATGAAGGTGCCCATGGTACCTTTGTGGATATAAATGGTGTTGTATCTTCCTGACACCAAGGTTTGGGTTATATAACTAGAACAGGACGGTTCCCTAACTTTCACATCTCCCATCCTGTTCTTGGATCATCAACATCTACATATTCCATGGTGGTTGGATGAAGGTGCTCATGGTACCTTTGTGGATATAAATGCTGTGGTATCTTCCTGACACCAAGGTTTGGGTTATATAACTAGAACAGGACGGTTCCCTAACTTTCACATCTCCCATCCTGTTCTTGGATCATCAACATCTACATATTCCATGGTGATTGGATGAAGGTGCCCATGGTACCTTTGTGGATATAAATGGTGTGGTATCTTCCTGACACCAAGGTTTGGATTATGTAACTAGAACAGGACGGTTCCCTAACTTTCACATCTCCCATCCTGTTCTTGGATCATCAACATCTACATATTCCATGGTGATTGGATGAAGGTGCACATGGTACCTTTGTGGATATAAATGCTGTGGTATCTTCCTGACACCAAGGTTTGGGTTATATAACTAGAACAGGACGGTTCCCTAACTTTCACATCTCCCATCCTGTTCTTGGATCATCAACATCTACATATTCCATGGTGGTTGGATGAAGGTGCTCATGGTACCTTTGTGGATATAAATGCTGTGTATCTATATCTTCCTGACACCAAGGTTTGGGT